TATATATATATATATATATATATATATATATATATATATATATATATATATATATACACACACACATATATAGGGCAGCTCGGTGGCGCAACTGGTAGAGCTGCTGCCTCACAGTGAGGAGGTCCTTGGTTCAAACCCTGGTCCAGGGGCCTTTGTGGGTGGAGTTTGCATGTTCTCTCCGTGCATGCGTGGGTTTTCTCCGGGTATTCCAGTTTCCTCCTACAGACCAAAAACATGCATGTTAGGCTGATTGGTAACTTTAAATTTTCCCTAGGTGTGAGTGACAGAGTGAATGGTTGTTTGTCTCATTTGTCTCTATGTTTCCCTGTGATGGACTTACGACCCGTCCAGGGTGTGCCCCGCCCCTCGCACAGTGACAAAATGCAACCTTGGCGGAGTCCAACTCTCACGGTGAACAAGACCGACTTACTGCCGAAAATGCGGACCAGGCTCTGACACCGGTCATACAGGGACCTAATAGCCCGTATCAAAGAGCCCAGTACCCCATACTCCCAGAGTACCCCCCACAGGGTTCCCTGAGGGACGCGGTCGAACGCCTTCTCCAAGTCCACAAAGCACATGTAGACAGGTTGGGCAAACTCCCATGCACCCTCCAGGACCCTGCTGAGAGTGTAGAGCTGGTCCAGTGTTCCACGACCAGGATGAAAACCACACTGCTCCTCCTGAATCCGAGGTTTGACTGTCCGACGGACCCTATTCTCCAGAACCCCCTTCTCCAGAACCCCCAAATAGAGCTTACTAGGGAGGCTTAAGAGCGTGATCCCCCTGTAGTTGGAACACACTCTACGGTCCCCCTTTTTGAATAGGGGGACCACCACCCTGGTCTGCCAATGCAAGGGAACTTCCCCTATGTCCACGCAATATTTCAGAGTCGCGGAAGCCAACACAACCCTACAACATCCAGAGCCTTAAGGAACCCCGGGCGAATCTCATCCTCCCCTGGTGCCTTGCCACCGAGGAGCTTTTCAACCACCTCGGTGACCTCAACACCAGAGATTGGAGGGCCCGACCCAGAGTCCCCAGGCTCTGCTTTGTCAGTGGAAGATGTGCCAGTGGGATTGAAGAGGTCTTAAAAGTATTCAGCCCGCCAACCCACGACATCCCGAGGTGAGGTCAGCAGCGCACCACTCCCACTATGAACAGTGTTGGTGGCGTACCGCTTTCCCCCCCTGAGATGCCCGGATGGTGGACCAGAATCGCCTCAAAGCCATGCGGAAGTCATTCTCCATGGCCTCTCCAAACTCCTCTCATGCCTGAGTTTTTGCTTCAGCGACCACCCGAGCCGCATGTCGCTTGGACTGCCATTACCCATCAGCCGGGGTCCCACAGGCCAAAAAGGCCCGATAGGACTCCTTCTTCAGCCTGACAGCATCCATCACGGACGGTGTCCATCACCGGGTTTGAGGGTAACTTTCACGACAGGCACCGAGAACCTTGCGGCAGCAGCACTGGTAAGCCACCTCGACAATAGAGGCACAGAACATGGACCACTCAGACTCAATGTCCCCCACCTCCCCCGGAACATGTTCAAAGTTCTCCCGGAGGTGGGAGTTAAAACCCTCACAACACGTTTGGGTCTGCCAGGTCTGACCGGCATCCTCCCCCACCATCGGAGCCAACAAAAAAACAGGTAGTGATCAATGGACAGCTCCGCCCCTCTCTTCACCCGAGTGTCCAAGACATGTGGAAGCAGATCAAATGTGATGACGATAAAGTCGATCATCGGTGCCAAGAGCACATATGGACACCCTTATGCCTGAACATGGTGTTCGTTATTGACAATCCATGACGAGCACAGAAGTCCAACAACAGAACACCACTCAGGTTCAGATCAGGGGAACTGATTGGTTCCTCCCAACCACACCCCTTCACGTCTCACTGTCATTGACCACATGAGCATTGAAGTCCCCAAGCAGAAAAAGGGAGTCCACAGGAGGTGCACTTTTCAGATCCCCCTCCAAGGACTCCAAAAAGGGTGGATAATCTGAACTGCCGTTTGGTGCATAAGCACAAACGACAGTCAGAACCTGTCCCCCCACACGTAGGCAGAGGGAGGCCACCCTCTCATTCACCGGGGTGATCCCCAACACACAGGCACCAAGATGGGGGGCAATAAGTATGCCCACTCCTGCTCGACACCTCTCACCAGGGGCAACTCCAGAGTGGAAGAGTGTCCAGCCCCTCTCAAGGAATCTGGTTCCAGAGCCAGAGCCATGCGTAGAGGTGAGTCCGACTATTTCTAACCGGAACCTCTCAACCTCACACCAAGCTCAGGCTCCTTACCCAACAGTGAGGTGACATTCCACATCCCAAAAGCCAGCTTCTGTAGCTGAGCATCACCCCGCCAGGGTCCCCACCCTCGGCCACCACCCATCCCACATTACACCCGACCCCTTTGGCCCCTCCCACAGATGGTGAGCTCATGGGAAGGGGGACCCACATCTCCACTTCGGGCTGTGCCCGGACGAGCTCCATGGGTAATAGCCCGGCCACTAGGCACTCGCCCGTGTGCCCACCTCCAGGCCTGGCTCCAGAGTGTGGCCCCATACATATAT